TAAAAACTCCAAGAAGTTTGGGCAACAATGACAGAAAAGTGACTTGAATATCGACATTTTCTTGCTTTACGTACTTCATTTACTATTAGAAGTAAAGTTCTGAAGCTGAGTAGAAGCTGAGATGTTATTGATGATACTTGTTTCTTGAAAATGTCCTGGATTATGTGAACATGTGACAGCTTATTAAGTTCACGTTATACTATATCAAATGAATAGCATGATTGGCGATTAGGAGGTTAACTCCATGAAAAGCTTTTTATTGTTTCCTCAAATCTTGTGATCGCTATTCATTACACTATTGTATCAATCCATTTTGCATGGAATGGTTTATGTTGACGGTCATTAGAAAATATGGTTTATTACTAGACCTATCGTTTCGAAACACTTATAATTACTCATGTACACACATTTATATTTATAAATTGAAGAAATGTAAAGTGTTTACAATCTGTTGTATCGGAATTATTAAAGAGCGATTTTTCAGCTTCAATTGTATCGAACCAAATGTGAAAATTAGATTTAATAAGGTAAACGTATGTGTTATGTTATATACACCATCATTATACTACGCCATTTGATTGATTTCATCTTTTGCTGAGATGTTAATGAAACATTAGATGGAATAGAGTTTCGATCAAGTAAACGATACAAAATTTCAAATTTGCCTTGTGTGACGTAATAAAACACACTGAATCAGTGTAGAATCAAAATCGATTCACAAGTATGGGAAACAAACTTCGAAAAATTGACATTAGAATTAGTTATCTGCACACACAGAACTGATAGACGAACAAACTACTGGTGTGTCATGATTTCAATAAATAAACCGATTTCAGCTGCACGAATTCTAAAGACGGATTGTTTTATGTATCAATGTGTGACGTTTGAAATTCATTTCAAAACACTTATCTTCATAAACGCGAATGAAATGACATTTGGTAATGTTTCTGGACTCCTACTTCAAATGTGTCATAGTGTTTTTAATACAAATCAAAGATCAATTTGTTAGCATCACATATAAGCAATAACCATCATTTGATGACTTAACCGATAAACAAACTACAATTACGGAAAAACAATATGCTGATGTGACAACCAGTTTCATACCATGTAAATGGGAGAAGAAACACGTATAATTATCTTTCACTTTGTAACTATAACATTCTCACGTAATCACTTCTGGTAATTTAAAAGAGGAAAATTGGAATAATATGATTGGTAATAATAAAGGAAGCGATCTAACGGTCTGTTAGACTATGTGAGTGAAATATTGATTTCGATAATGCGAAGTATTAAAAGAGTATGTGATAGACTAAATGTTATTAGTAGTTGTATACATCATGACATCAAACATGCATCAGACGGTGTTTGGACTAGTGTGTTTTACAAAAACTGTTGTTCTTAGGGTTAATGAAGAAATATTCGGTTCATCCAGACAATTCCTATTTTGAAATGAGAACACTATCTGTGTTGGATTATAGAACCTCTCACAGTTCATGGATGAGAACACGACAAATCATGCAAGTTGAAATAGATCGTATTATTGCCAAGCTATACAGAGAAGATAATGTTAATATGATTCACTGAGGTTAATAGACCCCGAACTCTTGAGACTGTAAACTTAAAGATGTATAATTTTATAATTTCACAGGATGGTTTCGATTGAAATTCAACAACTCACACAACATTGTATTCTCCATAGAAATCATTCTTGACCATTCGATAAGCAAAAATGCGTAATCATATATAAGTTTGTCGATGATCATTATGTGTAAAATAGTTTAATATACGTTTGTGCATTTTTGAACAACGTCCTCCCTAAACAAGTATTTAACACATGAAACATGGTTTGCTTATGTAATCAACGGGATAAACGATCTAACATTAAGTTTAATCGATTTCTAATTGCTCAATAAAAAAATTAATCACTTATTAAAAATCAGGCACCTTTATCTGGGTCACCGACGTCATACTAAATGAAAACACCTACGTCACCACCTGTTATGATAAATAGGTATACCTATTTAAATAAGATTGTGATCACGCTTATCGTTATTTGCGTTCATCTTGAATGCATACTTTTAAAAGTAAAAGAAAGCAGTTGAATAATCCAACGGTTAGCACGCAAAGTCTGATTATTGTTAGTCAACTAATCTAACTCCCAATGGATAATGCTGTGTAACTAGTGCTATAACTGAAATTACGTTCACTTAAATTCTTATTATATGTGATTATTACTATATGTGATCATCGACACGCGACAACTCTGGAAGTGATTATTTAACTGATGTCGATGATGGCAATATAATCGTGAGATGACTCAAGTTAGGCGTTAACTGTATACAATGTTTGGTGATATGACTTTATGTCAGACTGATTATATCAATTGATATGATCGACAATTACAGACACCGAGTTATATGATACGAACAATGACTCATAAACCTATACGACCAGCTAACGATTTGTGTTTGACAATCTGGATAATAGTTCCTTTCTTAACTCATCCAGAACGCTGGTATCAACCTCCGCGATACTAGTCAAGTATTTCAGACAAACAAACAAATAACACCACATGATAACGTAACAGAAAATAACAATCATTTAAGATCGGGAGAAATGTGATTGTGATTGTACGAGACAGTTACTAATGAACTAGGAATGAATTAGGAATTGTTAATCATATTATAGTAACCAATAGGTCTAATAGAAGCTTATGCCGTAAAGAATTTGGATATATTCACATAATACTGTTACTTAATAGTTATACAATGAGGATATATATATATATATATATATATATAATGCTGTACTGTAATTTATTTGTTAAATAATACATAGTCAATGTGTCCATTGATTATTGTTATATGACAAAAATATAAATGAAACATTTATATCTATGATAAAGAAACTGAATATATAAAGTTGATTGTTTGTTTGATTGTTTTTGTACTGAATTCTGAGTTCGTATTGTGATGTTCTAAGATAAATTTAACTGAGTTACTGAGAGAGAGAGAAGAAACAAAACACTTTTGTCATACAATATAAAAGATTGAATTTGATTACTTAAATGGTATCAAAAGAGTTTGATTGATAATAAAAGACAATGATACCTTATTTAACACGTTATAATGAGGAATGAAAAATTCATATACTAATTAGAAATGCATAGTTAGCAAATTATTTAAACAATTATCATGACGATTAAAGTGTAGTGGTTTGGCTTCGTTAATAAACAATCTTTTTTACCGTTATTCCTAAAAATCTCAACGATGTTTGAAATGAAAAGTTAGTAAGAAGCGGAAGGGATTAATGATAAATATACAAGCCCGTCAAACGAACTTCAAGCACATAGGCGAATGTATGTATGGAAGAGAATATACAGCCTAATTTACACGCAATTTGAATAACACTTAGATAGTTGAGGAAAAGACTCGTAAAAAAATTTGAGTACATATACACATGGAAAAGAGAATGAACCATCAAGCGATGTTGAAGTGTACAGCTACAGTGTGCAGTTACAGTCTATCATATGACCTAGCGAACACATTTACATAGACAAGATAGTGATCATGAAACTACTGATAGTCATGGGATTCCCCACTGTTCAAATAACATTGTCTGTCAAAAAGACTAATAAATGTATTCGCTTACTTACCTACCATTTTTACTCCTAAATGCATAGAAGTCGATCAGCATTCTTCGACCCAACCTGTCCTGGAACATCGCTTGTAGTAAATTTTTCTCATGTTTTCTCCATTTCTCGATGTAATGTATTATTTTTCATCCTCTTTTCCATTGTCTTGCTTGATGGTTCTAGACGAGGTCTTGCCATGTGACTCAATTGAGCGCTTAACCAAAACTAACCATAATCGAAGTTGTTGGTAGTAAAGTTAGTTGCGATGACAGTCGTAGAAAGGATGTAAATAATTATAACGTACGGCCATAAATAATAATATATTTGCGTAAAAATACAGCATTTCAATTATCTTGTTATTATTTTTGAAAATGAAATAAACACTAATTCATACTAAATAACAATGATTAGTGACATTTAATCGTGGAAGCTTAGATATGACAAATTCCAGTACATATTTGTTTGGTGAATTTCTATATTTAGTCAAGATATAATGCATTTATTTATTATTATTTATTTGAACACATAAATACTGATGCGAAGTAGAGGGTGGTAACAAATAATTATGCGCCACACTAGTCATTTACTATCCGGATGCTCAGACCAATGCAGACGCATTTCTTATTAGGCCACAGCAAGAACGTTCAACCTAAAGTTCTGATCAACAAGGCTGTGAAGCTATGTATTGTACATTGAACGCAATTAAATAAATATATAAATATAAACTTCGTAAGTAACTTAATGGGACCGAATAATTGATCGAAATATGGGGATGATATAAACAATGGATAAATAAAATGGAAATCGGCGATGAAACGGTATCAACAGGATAACTAATTTAAGACATATTACATTTCAGTGACCACGTCACCAATTGCCTGGCTGTTAGACACGTAATTGAAAGCATCGCTCTTCCCAAAGCTACAATTGAAGCTTTCTTACGACGACGTAGTCACATGAAACATAAATTCGAGTTTCCTCAGCAACTTACTTCAACAATCACATTACACAATTACGTATATGCTGATGGTGTAGAAGATGTGTCGATTCCGACTACATAAACTATTCATTCTGTTTAAAAAAAACGTGTGACCATTATCATTGTTTTGATGGTGTCTCACCTGACGTCATTATTCTGTAGAAACTTTATTCAACCATTCAGCACATCAAAGCGATCGAAATATTCTATCTCCGAGGTGGAATCACTCATTCACAAATAGTGAACTAAAAGTTAGATGAGTTTGCTTAATTTCTAACGAATCACGTTTTCTAGTATTCTGTACAAAGTTAGCTTAACCAAAGTTCAATGAAAACAATAAGCACTCATGAGTGAAGAATGACGATTCAAAATTATCAGAGTATTCCGTTATAAATATGTGCAATTTTATTGTATTATTTTTATTGTGAACATCATTCCATGTGAGTTTGTTAATTTCTATCAAAAGTTATAATTTAAGAATGAGTTTCTATTTGCTGATAAGTTGTATTATGAGTAGCAATAACAACAGTTGAGTTTAATGTTATAGTCTATCTTTAATACAGAACACTCAACACAAATGATTCCAACGAGCTTCTTTTACAAACAGAAGAGATATTCATTATTGAAGGCGAAAGATAAAGAAGAATCGGATGGTACAAATTTTGGAGGAAATCAATGTTTAGCAGTTTGCAAGATTTTCAATGTCTTGCAACATGCGTATTTGTAATAATCTCTAAAGTATAACTGTACACCCTACTCACTGCCTTCAGCACACTTTACAATACGACAAAATCTTTTCGGAAAATCACAGGAGAGAATAATGGAGAAAAAATCATACTCTTTGTGAGTATCATTTATGTGGATGATTAGATTTTTTAACCGTTAATTGTAATTACTGAAGTGATCACGTCAACGTTGATCACTAAAAAACATCATGTGCGGAAATCATCTAACGTGAATCTAACGATATCAATTTTCATCGACTTTCCAGCTTTGTAATTATTCTCGTAAAAGTGAAAATGCGAAGAATCCAGATGAAATTTTGATTCTCTCCATGAATCAAAACTTGTGTAAAAGCAATGAATGAGGAACGAAATAGCCATGTGAATGAATATTGAAGGTCTTATGTAAAACATGAAATCGAATATTTCTATCTCGTGAATGTTTAATTATTTCAGAATAAATTTAAATTGTTGATTGTAAAAGCTGAAATTTCAATGGCGAATTGTTCACAAATCTCCACTGAATTTACATTAATGAAGTCGGAAAACGATTGTAATTATACAAATGAAACACTTATTTATGACTGCATGTAAGGCATTTATCATTCCGTTTGACAGATTCAGCATTCAAAAGCTTTTTCATAATCCAGGGTGTCTGAAAGTTCGTGATGACAAGTAAGACATTTGTCTTTATGTTTGACAGATTCAGCTTATCCATTCCTGTTGATTTGTCAAGCAAAACTCTAAATATAAGTTGTAATTACACGTAAGACTATTATCATTCCATATGAAAGATCCAGCATTGTTTGTTTTCCAGATCCAATTGCTCTCAGTGGTCTCATAATAACGTAAGTAATATATATGTTTTAAATACAGGCATTGCACAAAAAATAACAACGACAATTTTAGTGTATCACTATCCAATGAAGTGAAATGTACACTGAAATAAGACAACTGATTCAGATTTCTCAAGAATATTATGAATTCTCAGTACAAACCATTCTCATTTCGTGTTACATCACATTATAACAAATGATCGTTATGAAATGAGATAAACAGGACTATCACTCATAAGGTAATTCACTGATCGATTATTCCGACAAGTTTGACAAAGTTCGGAAAATGTCGAATAGAGACACTGAGTAATTCGTTCAACCATTTCATGCATTCAGATTATGTAGAACATTAGATACACATCACTATGGTTTATTGTATCTGTGAGATTATGATAATGTACATTGTTTTCTGTTGTATTTCAGATTGATCGGATTAGTTCTTGGATTAATAATAATATTCAATAGATATCTATTCACCGCACCCAGAAAGAACAATGCATTCATCGTGATAACCGTCAGTTGAACATTGTTTTCAATAATATTCATGATATTTTCATTAACTCATCGATTAAATTTAGTTTGTTTGTTGAAAAATAAAAATGTTCTTATGTTTGTTAGATAATGGATATCATTATTAACGAAACCTTGAATGTTGAATTTAACAGATGATATTCGATGTTGTATTTGAGGGTATCGATAAGTTTAGCGATCCAGTTTCTATAGTTTCAATGATTCAATAAAACTGTCAATGTATACAACTCAGATCACCAATGATTCTGTTGTATCGTGAGCTATAAGTGTTCTTCGTTATGTAAGCAAAATGATATAACAATAAATGACATCAGTCAATGTCATGGATAATTAACAGATATATAGACGTGTATGCGCATCACACAGATAAATTTTCCCCTAATCTATGTTTGTTGTAATGAGCATTTTCAAGAAGTGGAATTGCTTGTGAACATAGAATGAATAAACAAATCGAATTTCTGTCATTTTAATTTGTTTTATCATCCACATACTTTGTCTATCACTGAACGTGTGTTTTATGATACGCAAGTCACCATTCGGTGCCTCGAGTCGCAGATATTACTAGCTGTCGGAGTTGTTTATTTACCCATTTAGTATATTTGACACTGTTTAGGTGATAGACTTCACATAGTTAGATCATATTTTGAACATGAAAGAAATCGGTTTGAAATTATTCCGCGTTTGTCACTATGACACACTTGGTTAAGCATTCCTTGTTATGTGCTTGTATCCATGGATATTCATTTTCATGCATTTCAATAGAAAGCAATTCAGTGATGTTTAGTCTTTGATTATTTTTTCAGTTGTTGAACGATTCAACTTCTGAACATATATTAATTTCAAACTACTTTATCTTTATTCAGTTGATCATTCTAATTGTCGGTGCTGCATTTCTAATGTTTTACGCACAATGGTACGAACAACTTATTTCTATATCTACGGCTACCTTGCTCCTCATCATAGCCATTTTCTTGAGCGAAAAGCCAGATCGTATAAAAAGGAAATGGAAGATACTCTTGTTTGCAATGTGTGGTGGATTCCTTTTCACTGGTTTTATTCTCATGGTTGTGTGGCTGATTCTAAAATCCGTGAGTTCTTCTAGTCGAAGATTTACACAAACTAGAAATGATTATTGATTACTAGTTATTTACCAATGATTCGCTCGAATGGTAAAATAGTTCTTAGTAATTGTAAAGATATATGATGAATTGAGTTAAATTGTTTCATTTCCATTATTTTAGACTGGCCTACAAGTTGCAATCATGGTTTGTTGGTGCGGCGCAATGTTCATTGTAAGTTCTGAAAAAATAAACAATTGCAATTACACATGGTCCATCGATTATTATGCTGCTAAATATATATGCTTCTGTAGAATTTAGAACTAAGAAGCATTATTGACCATCTGTCAATAATTGAAAGATCAAAATGCAAATTACTTACTGTTCATTTTGTATGTATGAATGTTTAGAAACTACGAAGTTCTCAAAACTGTATCTGTATATGTTTATTATTTCACTGATACATATATTTATAACAGTGCTACAATGATGAAGTAACCATCTACGTTTTCATAATCACAGGTGATGACATTCACAAAATACTATTTGAAGAAATACTATGAACATGAACAGAATTCAAAACTCTACAATGTTTTTGTATTGGTGTATGAAAATATCATACTTGTAATCACTTTACAAATTTCTTTAAATGCAACCATCGATTGTCGTTTATCAAATCAGAAAATGATTGAACACAATAACTCAAAGCTTTTCCATTGACTGTTTTAGTTAGTTTACAGATATTCATATATGTTCATGATGAATAGTTTGAAGATAATTGTAAAGTGCACTGTCATTTATAATAGATGTTCTGATAAACAGATCTTCGTTTGTTGGTATTAATTTCTGAATTAAAGACATTTCGATTATACTTGAACTTACAAATATCCGAATCGGTTGAAATGATTCGTTCAATAACCGTACTTCTCAAGTAAACGCGTCTCGTTACTTTGACATATGGCTTATTACTCAGTGGTTGTTTTGTTAGTCTGGTACGCTTTTCGATTAATGGATTCCATTGGTTATCCAGAAAACATCAAACATCTTACTTCCACATATAAGTAGGCAAAGAAACTTTGTTCTAGTAAACGTTGCATTTAGCGTCTCTCAAACTTCACATTTACCGTCATTTTTGATTTCACTTCTTTTTTATTCTGACCTGTCCCGATGAAGCCTTTGTTTAATAACATATTTCAATTGCAGTAGGTTCAGTGACTGCGAATCGACCTGATTGCCAGCTTTTCGCAAATGTGATAGTTGTTCTTGTATCTGATTAGTGTAAAATATCAAAATACACTGAGAACAATTGGCCATATTGACCGTCGTTTATCAAGGACCACACTGAATTTTAGGGTATTTATAGACGTTCTATCGCCTGATGGTCAGCTGATATGTGAGTTAAAACCTCTTTGTTTGTGCTGCATTTATTCTGAAAATTGTGCCCTTGTATTCGAGAACATTTATTCAAAATCAGGCCACGATATCTCGATAACTGACGTTATACTAAAAGAAAACTTCTACGTCGTCATCAGTTATGATGAATAATTATACTTATTTAAATAAGATTGTGATCACGCTCATCGTTATTTGCGTTCATCTTGAATGCATACTTTTAAAAGTAAAAGAAAGCAGTTGAATAATCCAACGGTTAGCACGCAAAGTCTGATTATTGTTAGTCAACTAATCTAACTCCCAATGGATAATGCTGTGTAACTAGTGCTATAACTGAAATTACGTTCACTTAAATTCTTATTATATGTGATTATTACTATATGTGATCATTGACACGCGACAACTCTGGAAGTGATTATTTAACTGATGTCGATGATGGCAATATAATCGTGAGATGACTGAAGTTATAAGTTCACTGTATACAATGACTCTTAAATATATACGAAGAGCTAGAATTTGTATTTTTCTACCTGCATAATAGTTTCTTTCTTAAGTCAGCTAATTAACGTTTAGGTCGACATTATCAGCCTCTGCGGTAGAAATCATATATTTCAGTTATACAAACGAACAATATCGCATCATGCCGTAACACAAAACACTAATCATATAAGATCAATCCAAAAGCGATTTTGATTGTTAGAGACAGGTACCTGTAAAGTGGGAATGAATGAATAATTGTAAATCATATAACAGTAATCAACAGGTCGAATAGAAGCATGTGCCGAAAATAATTTGAATATGTACAAATAAGCCAGTTTCCTCATAGTTATTCAATAAGAATACATATATAACGGTCAATAAATAATCCTCAGCACTTAACACATATTGGGTCTCTGTTCGAATATAACATTGGATCAATGGCTGCGGTTACAGGCGATTACACCCTAGTCTTAATTTGGCGGGTACATGCTCGAGTGTTGTCTACCATTATATATTATTTAATATATTTCAACTGAGGTTTAGCTTTAATCAGTTAGTGAATATAAATCGTGAAAAATCTTTATTATTTACTACAACTGAATTTGGCGCCAAAATTCAAGACCTGTTATCTTACACCTGATTTACTCGTCCATGAATTATAGTCATGTCGTTTTATCCTACAAATATTAGTGAAAAATCTTTATTACTTACTACAATATTCCCTCAGGAATATGTGAATTCTAGTTCATTTGTTTTCAATACATATGCAATGGGTCTGTAGAATTATCGTCCACTATGATATTCGTACTGCTTTAATCAATTATTCATATGACATAACTGCCTAATCTATAAGATCTTACGCGGAAGTCACATCATCGTCTACACCAACTCACTGTAACGTAATAACTACCAATACATGATGAAGAACAAGCTTACGCTAGAGAAAGAACACTATACTTATTATGAATAGAATATATAAAGTAACATTTCAGAGGGACCACACATGCATGGTCTAGTCATGCCATCGGATCAACTCCAATTCATTCAATATAAGATAATATAAAATATAACGCCTATGCAAAATAAGAATGTGAATGAACACTTGACCTATACTGTATTGGCATATGCTTGGTTGTTTGAGGTCAACTCTTACCCAACCAACCTGTGCTGTTACAGGTCCAAAGATTATATTTATATAACAAAATTATAAATGAAACATGTTTATTTATAACATATAAAATGTATAGATAATTTTGACTGTTTGCTTTTTGTATTGAATGCTGTGTTCATACATTGGTGTTCTAAAATAAATTCAACTGAGTTATCGAGAGAGAGAGAGACAGAGAAGAAACAAAACACTTTGACAACATCATGGTGTAACACATTGTTGTATTTAGAATGAACGCAATGCGATGCGGATAAAATTTCAACGCAGCTGAAAATGTATTAGAAAACATTGAATTGTTTGGAATGTTCCTCAATGACATATGGATTGCAAACGTATTTGTATTGCGGTGTAGGAAACTTTTGACCGTATTTTTGATTAGCGGATTTTATAAGAAGACTTATGCTACTCGAGAAAACCATTAGCAAATCAATATTAATCATTAATCACTATCATTTTGTGGAAAACCATGATTAGATAAACTCACGTCTTCGAATATCATCCAAATAATAATGAGAATAAATCCAATTCTTGTAGATACACAAAATGTTATGAACATAATCGTCTTGAATTTCGTTTCTAAATCTTTTAGCTTTGTACCTATAAAAATGGCTAAAATGGTGGATCAAGTAGCCGTTGGTAGAAAGACTAATATTTCATACACTTGTGACGTTGACTTCTGTATCTTATGATACACGTTTGGTGACATAAAAAGTGTGCGGATGACTATATATTTTATTTTATAATCACACATAATTTTATACTCTCAGCTTTTTTCTGAATCGCTCTCATTTGTCAGTTGTATGTCCACACACACCTCGTCAACACTTATTTCCTTTAACCTATTAAAATGCTCTTTCTTAACATATACCTTAATAAAGAAAAATTAGACTAAGTAATCATACCTTAAACATTCCTTCATGAATATTGGCTACTTTGCTCCTCGTGTTTTCTTTTACTTGCTCCCTCTTTCAGCCCCCTTGAGATGTGGAACTGGTGACTTCATCCTGCACCATCCTTAAAGCCTTGGATATACCAAAGGGACATAAGGTTGCGATTTCTAAAAGCTCATAACTTCAGTGGACCTATCCTTGACCATCAGTCGCACATTCGCAACGCAACTTTCATGAAGCGCGCCAACTGTGGTAATGATTAAAACCATCTACATTCATATCTCATAAATTATCAACCCAGCTATGTAATTTACTACAGTGGATATTGTATCATTTGTATCAATTTGATCTTGCCTGTAAAGTGGCATGCCTTATGTAACAAACTGTTATTTGATATTAAATTATTAATAATATTAGTATTATACACATTACAATGAGAGAAATCTAATTTGTTAAGTTGATTCTGTGTTGACAACCGAATAAAATTTTTCAAATTGTCATAAGAACAAACGTAGATCAGAGTACAATGTGCCGGTATTATGTGCATCCACTTCCATTTCAACTTCAAAAGAGCTGTTTAATCTTGATATCTGTTATCAAAGTAACATGACAACATGTTTATTATTCAACAAATAAAACTAAACTAAATCCAATCGGTTGTTGGATGAAACTATCATGAATCAAATTTTGAAACCACATTCAACTGACTGTTAAAACAATAAAGAAACGTTTCTTCGCAGATGCAGGAAGTAGTTTTCTAATAATTATTAATAATAATCCAAGAATCAATATGATAAATCTGATAAACGAAGAAAAGAAATGTACAGCATACTGAAATCACAGATACATTAAATGAAAGTAATGTGAATCAATGTTCTGTATAATATGTATGCATGAAATGGTTGAACAAATTCCTTAACTTCCCAGTTAAATAATCTTTACGGCTTGTAAAACTTGTCAAAAAATCGATAAGTAAAATTCTTATTGAGTGGTCAACTTAAATATCTTATTTCATCCCCAAAATGCCGTGGTTCACCAAGGTTAAGGGGAATGCGCTCCACCTCTCGAAATGCTATCACATGGGCAGGCGTATTTAGCCACTGCCAGAAACGTACTACTCACTTCCCTCTCGTGTCGATTGATCTGTTTACGAAATCGAGATGACGAAGAGCGAATATCTGGCACTTTAATCGGGTGAGCGAACACGGAAAGTCGACATAGGTGTTTTTGAATATACGGATACCAATGGTGCACATGGGTTACAAGGTCCTGAAAGAACAATTTGCGTATAAATCCATTATCTCTCGAAGTTGTTCCTCTGTCGTCAGGATTAAACGTTTTTTCGATGCCTCAGGGTATAAAAGTCCAAGAAAACCATATGTTTCGGTCTAGATACCTGCAAAGTATTACAGTCCACACAAAAATCAAGTGACTTGTGTGACGAATATGTATCCGACGCCCCATTAACCAATGTTCATGTGTTGAAATAAACGAATAAATTCACTTCAGAATGATAATTTGCTATGATGTGATGCAAAGTGTATTTCGAAATATATTACTTACGTTACTACGAGATTAGCGAGAACATAGGGATCGTCAAATTTTCGAACGCGTTCATAGCTGAATCTGTAAAATGGAACGATAAATGTCTTACATGCAATGAAAGTTCCTTTTTTTTCGTTTCACTTGGATTCTTATCTCTTGCGAATGTCGATATCTAAGAAGTAACTTCAAAGATTTTTGAACAGTTTATTTTTGAAAATTTTCCTTCCACTATCACTAATTCCAATTTCAACTGAAATAAGTGAGAGTTCACAATACAGTTGTGGAGATATTTAATCTCATGGATTGCATAAACACTTAAATATTCATTCACATTCATGGAC